TACAAACACACACCTATGTGTCCCACCATGGTGGGAGTCCCAGTGTAGACATACAGGCTTAGGGAAGCAGCTCTATCTCCATGTACCCCTGATCATCAACAAACCCACAGTGTAGCTGCATAGGTCTAGAGAAGCCTGCTGCATGTCCTGCTATCTTCCTATAAATCTGAATTAGAGGAACTCAGGTGCCTGTCTCATCCTCCTACACTGCCTAGGGCAGCCAACAAGGGAAGTGCCTGGGACCCCACAACCAGCTTATTAGGAGGATCCCAGGAGAATGTCAAGACGAAGGAGCAAAAGGCAAACTGAGACATCTAGCCCACACAGAATAAGTCTGGGAGATACAGCCATGGAAGAAAATGGAAATCACACACCTTAGGTCTCTGAGAGGACAGCAACTGAAGTAAGGAAACAACTTTATGAGATTGTAAAAGCAGTCAAATCAGATATAATATTGCAGGTAAGAGAAGAAATCACAAACATAGTGAAAGAATTGTTCATCAGGTCTAAAGAAGAGAGAGACAATAAAGAATAGCGTAGGAAAATGATGGAAGCCTTGAATGAATGTAGAAATGAATTACAATGCATGAAACAGATTCCAAGAGAGATGCAGGAAAGTAAAAATTCAATCAAAAGCTGGCAAAACCACTTGAAAGACAGAATTTCAAACCCTGACGACAGGATTGCAGCTAGTGCTCATGAAAGGAAAGATCTCTTAAAAATAACACAGAATCAGGAAATAATAACTCAATGGCTGCAAGATAATGCAAAGAAGAATAATTTAAGAGTGACAGGTGTAGGTGAAGAAGCAGAGGTCATCACAAATGAAATTAAAAGAATATTCACAGAAGTAATAGAAGAAAAGTTCCCAAACATGGGAAATGGATCTGGCATGCAGGTAAGTGAGGCATATAGGACTCCAACTAGCCATAACCAAAGTAAATCTACACCTAGACATATAATAATCAAGATCCCAGAAATTCAGCACAATAAAATAGAATATTAAAGGCTGTTAGAGAAAAGAGAGATCACCTATAAAGGAAAACCAATCAGAATTACAGCAGACTTATCAACACAAACCATCAAGTCAAGAAGAGTTTGGAGTGAAGCATTTCAAACCCTGAAAGAAAACAACTTCCAACCCAGATTGATCTATCCTGCAAAACTATCTTTCAAAATTGATGGAAAAATAAGATACTTCCACGATAAAGAACAACCGAAGAAATTCATGGCCACCAAACCAACCCTACAGAGAGTGCTAAAGGATATTCTAGAGAGAGATAAAGCTGACCATGGTTCCAGGAACAGCAGCAGGGGAGGGTCACCAAACAAGACAGGTAATTCGATGAAGGGGAAAAGGAAGGCCAACAACAGGAGGACAGCAGGGCAGAAACAAACCAGTGTATGCTGGTTGTAACCATTAATGTAGATGGCCTCAGGTCAGCAATAAAAAGAAACACAGGGAGAGTGGATCAAGAAACAAGACCATTGACACACTGTATACAAGAAACACATTTAACTGGAAAGGAAATTCATAGGCTGAAAACCAAAGGAGAGAAAGCAACTGTTTCACGTGACAGGAGACCAAAAAAAAAAAAAATAGCAAGCTTAACTTGACGATCAACTGCAGAATGGATAAGAAAGATATATTTTCATGCAGTGGAAAGCTTCCCAGCTATAAAGTAGAATAATCTCAAGGTTCCTGTAGATAAATGAATGCAACTAGAGATCATGTTCATGGGTGAAACATTTTGAACTCATAAGTGTGAACCCTAGCATAAGAAACAGAAGGAGTTAATGGAATCCAAAAGCAAAATAGTTAATGTAAGAGTGATAGAGGAGGAAATACCTGGGAGGGAAAGGCAGAAACTACTGTTATTTCTTATTGTCTTGTCTTGAACTCTTGAATTGTTTACACAATTTTACTAGGTTGGTTTTTGCTCTCTTTTTTTGTTAAATTTTATGCTGTCAGACAAATGCTGGAGAGGCTGTGGGGAAAAAGGAACTCTCCTGCACTGCTGGTGGGAGTGTAGACTGGTACAGCCTTTGTGGAGATCTGTCTGGAGATTTCTCAAAAAGTTGGGACTGGAAATCCCATTTATTCCAGCTATTCCACTTCTAGGCATATTCCCAGAAGAACTGAAAGCATCATACCACAGTGATATATGTGCACCTATGTTTATAGCAGCACAATTTGTAATCGCCAGATCTTGGAAACAACCCAAGTGTCCATCAACTGAGGAATGGATAAAAAAGTTGTGGTATTTCTATACAATGGAGTATTATTCAGCTATAAAGAAGGATCACATTGAGATATTTATCAATAAATGGGTGCAGCTTGAGACCATACTCATAAGTGAAAGAAATCAATCTCGCATGTGTGAATACCGAATAGTTTCCCTAATGTAAGTAATGATTCAAATATATAAAAATATGTGGTAATCATGATTCCCCATTAGGTGGCCTTGGAGCCTTATAAAGTTTTCACTCATTAATTAGAAAGGCTTTATTCTGGGCTTCTTGATTTGAAAATATTTGAAGCTAGAGTATATGAAGTTTTATCCAAATATATCAAGGAAAAAAAGACACTACGGTAACTACTATTAAGTCAGGTTATATGGTGGTGAAGTACTAGGTTGTTGAAACAGTCATGCTGTGACCTCTATTGTTATATTGTTATGTCCTGCTTTATCTCAATCTCCCCCTTATTGTTTTAAACAAATTATTTAGTCATTTCTTATGTTTGTCTTAATTAAAGAAAAAATTCAAAAAAAATTTTATGCTGTCAGATGGTAGGGGCAGGTATTTTGGATATAATGGGATATATTATGGCAATTGTGGTTTCCTAATGTATTGTTTTGAAGTCTTATGATGCTTTCATTCACTGATTGGATTGGTTTTATTTTGTTTTGTTTGATTTTATTATGTGTGATGGTATGAACAGCAATTTTGAAGAAAATGAGACATTATGTAAGCCTTTGCTGTAATCTTATTTTGAATTCCTACCATGATTTTTACTTCTGTTTTGATTGGTTCTATCCTGTTGTGTTTTATTTGAATTTATTATGTGTGTTGATATAAACAAACTTTTTGAGGAAAATGAGATATTATAGTAGCTGTTGTTCATTTCCTGTTATTTGGTTTTGAAGTTCTTTAATGCTTTCATTCTTTTGAATGGTTTTATACTATATTATTATGTTTGATATGAATGTGTGTGAAGGTATGCTCAACTATTTTGAAGAAAAGAGACATTATGGTAGCTACTATTGCTGTCCAGTTGTCTGGTCATGGAGTGCTGTGTTCCTTGTATTACTCTGTTCTGATTTGCTTTATTCTGTTATCTTTTGTTTCATTCTCTTTAAAATAAAAAAATAAAAAATTTGTAGAACCATCAGTTTAAATTTCAAGTACTCCAGAAAGTGTTCCTTGAGTTACTTACCTCCAGATATACACTTCCTAATGAAGTCTTCCCCCTCTCTTCTCCATCTCTGTATTGTACCCTGGAAGAAGTCACAGCCAATGAGACCAATGTGATAAGTGTATATAAGGACATCTCTTCTTCCATATGCTTCTATAAGTTCCTGAGGCACAGAAACCAAGTCTTATCTATTTTTTTTATAACCACCATTGGTACATTGACAACATTGGTACCCAATATATAAATCAACATGCAGAAAGAGCATTTCACTGGCCCTGAATCAAGGCCAGCAGCTTCCTGATGCTGTTGGTTTTTAAGCAGGAGCCTAAAGAGATGTCTTTCTATGGTTTGTTGGCCATTTCAGAACTTGGGCAGTGAAATAGTCAATTCATTAGAAAGAAACAGCTAGAAGCAATCCCTCCATTCCCTGTGAGTGGCTGAGTGTGGCAGGCTGCGGCGGCCAGGATGGGAGCCACCAGCGTTTACTGGGACCCATGCTATGCCAGGACCGGGAGTGCTGGGAAACCAAGCAACCCCTTCCCCACGCCTGTTTTGTTTTGTTGAACTTCAGTATACATGAAAGTATGAACAGCTATTTTGAAGAGAACAAGAGACTGTACGACAGCCATTAGTGACTTCCCTATTGTCTGGTTTTGAAGACCTAAAAAGCCTTCCTCATTCGTTCGGATCAGTTTTATACAATGTTGTTTTGTATGAATTCTCTGTATGTGAAAACATGGACAACTATTTGGAAAAAAACAAGAGACAATATGATAGACAGTGAAGATCTCAGGTCATCTAGCTTTGAAATGTATATCTCCTACATTGCTTTCTTATGTCTTATTTTATTCTGTTATGTTGTGTTTAACTTTACCCCCTTTAAAATAAAAATTAAAAAAAAATTAAAAAAGAGCATTGCAGCATCCTTTCCTAATTCGATGGCTGCCAAAAAAGCACAAACACTATCCATTGTGATGATAGTTACATTGCAGACACATGAACTTATTAATCAGTAAGATAGTTACATTCAGTTCATGACTATGGTAAAATCAAATTCTGCAACCTCATTCTGAAAACAGATTCTAGACTTCATATGTAAACCAGACTGATGCAATTCTGTACCCTCATAGCCCACTAGAAATGTCCTAGAGAGGCAAAGTGATTCAGGCAGGGAGCCAGTTTGAGAATACAGGCTGCTTGACTGCAAGTCAAGTGTTCTTTACAGCCTGGGACTCGCTGCATCCCTAGTTATCTCAAAATTTCTGGCTGCTGAGATGTGGTGCGTGGAGGTGAGGGATTTCTCTGTTAGCCCACAAGCTCGTGGCACAATACTCTAAGTCCCTGCAGGGACTCTCCTTGAAAAACAATTTTAGGAATTGTGTATTTGCTTGATATCAGAGTACAGCTGTGGGTTGTTGCAAGACAAAGCATAATAAGTCTTATGATTTCATTAATGTAAAATATTTGCTGAGGATGGAGTCCAATGAAGATGTTTCATGAGAACCTTCTGATACCATTTTTTCCATTATTTCCAGGTAGGAAAGAATCACAAATAAGACACTTACACTTTCAGACAGGGATTCTTACTACTGCAAGAACACCATTCTATTTGATTCAGAGAAAGTCCACATGAGAAGTTGATAATATCAAGAAAGACACAGTCTCCTTTCAAACTAATGATTTTTCAGTCAGGAAAACTAGAAAATGTGTTTTAAGTCACTGAGAAATCACTGAAGCATTTCAGAGGCCTGAGGCTGGGAGCAGAGCAGAGAGTAGTCATGAGTGGCTGGGAGGTACTCGGAGAGCCCCATCCGGGTCGGGCAGAGGCCTTCATCTTTACTCTTCTCTGCTCTCGGACATCTCCAGGGTTCCCTGAGCACCACGGCCTCCACTTCCATCCTCCTCAGGGGTGTCCTGCAGAGCCCTCTGCAGAAGCATTTTCAAACTTTGTTTATTCAGCTGTTGCCTGAAGGCGCCAACAAAAAAATAAATGACAGGGTTGGAGCAGCTGTTCACAGAGGACAGGACAACCGAAGCCAGGTAAAGACCGTAATGCAAATTATTACCAAAATTATCATGAATCCAGATTAATGCGAACCAGTAGATGCCTAAGGGCAGGCCACAGAGAAAGAAGACAAGCAGCGTGAGCAGGATGGTCACATACAGCCTGGACAGCTTTATCTGGCGGGGGCCAAGCAAAAATCTGACCAGCAGGGCCAGGCTGGACCCACAGAGAATCAGAACTAAAAGAGCCACGCATGCGGCAGTGAAAAAATTGGCCTTCAGACACTGGTCACTCTTCCTGTCGATATTCATCACACCACAATAAGACTTGTTCAGAACGCATATCAGCAGGGACATGACCCAGAGCAGGACGCACACGGTGACTGATGTGTGCTTAGGGCGACGGTAGCGGTACCAGATGGGACACAGGACAGACAGGCAGCGCTCGGTGCCGATGGCGCTCAGCATGCTCAGGCCTGTGATGTAGGGAAACATCATCACGGTCTTATAGAAGGGAAGGAAGAAGATGTCGGAATGGAAAAATTTGACGAGTACCAGCAGGGAATCTATAAAGTGGCAGAGGAGGAAGAGGAGGTCGGCTGCTGCCAGGTTGAGGATGTAGACGGAGAAGGTGTTCCTGTGCATGCGGAAACCCAGGAGCCAGAGCACGACCGAATTTCCTGCAAGTCCAACCAGCGCAGAGACAATGATCACCAAGTTGGGGACCAGGTCCTTTTCGCTGAAAGTTCCAGGAATGCCTCCATCTTTTCCTTTTGTTGTTGTGACTTGTGTCCCCAAAGCTGATGTGTTTGGATTCATTCTCAGAAGCCCTCCACTGGTGAGCCTGGAAGACAGACAACCTGTGAGCACCTGCTGCAGGACCCCTGATTCTCAGGCCACCCTTTAGGTGACAGTTAGTGTCATGCATGATACAGTGTGTGTGTGTGCATGTGTGTGCGTGTGCATGTTTGTGTGTGCTGTATTACTTATTTAAAGCAGTGGTGTCCTATCACCTGGGTACAAACTCATTTCTTTCTTACTGTAAAGCCAGAGTCTCTTGAGTGCAGCTCTGATCTATTTTTGACATGGGAATGTTCTATGTCCCCAGTGTCCCCACTCAACATGCCTGAGCTCAGGACCCAAGCAACTACTCTGTCCTAGCCAGAAAATTTCTCTCAGGTGCAGGAATTCAGAAAGATAGAGGTGATCATGACACTCCCATAACTCAGGATATTCCTGAGCAGGATAAAGAATGTCTTATTTTAGGGCCATGTGAAGTATGTGCTAGGGCAGGCGTGAGGATGACTGGTTCGAGTGACAGAGAAATGTCCTAATGTGTTATCTGTTGAGGACTAGAGCACTGTGTCTACTCCTGATGAATACATAGTTGCAGACTATGTATTCATACCTGCTCAATGAATGAATGTGAAATTTATCAGGACCGAATATTTGAGCTGAATGAAAATACACTAAAAAGGATTAGAACACACTGAGATGAAAGAGCTTTCATTCATCATCATTCTTTTGAAGATTTTTCTCTGGGTATTTCTAGAAGAATTTCTAATGAGTGTTCAAATAACTAAAGTTGACCACTCTGGTGTCTTTTGTTAAGTTTTGGAAAGGACCTAGAAGAATTTTGGTACCCTGTGCATGGGTAGGGTTTCTGTTTGACAGAATTGTACCGCAACATTGAGGGGAAAGGGGTCAGTGGTCTGAGTGCCACTGGGGAGAGGTATACATAAATATACAGATGTTGATGGATGATTACTAAGTGTAGTTTAGGGGAGTGTACAAATAATCTATACCATTTTCTTTGCCAGAAGATTTGAGGCAGAGTTTGTTTTGCTGCTCACACAAAGCTTTTATGTGAGGAGTCTGTGAGAAGTGGTAGAAATATAAAAATGTAGGGCTTGGCATATGAGGTAACATTTAGTATCTCCCATCGCTCTTATTTTTTCAGATGCAGCTGTAGCACAACCAAAATCAGTAATAAGCCTGTGGGCTCATACAGTGTAGCTGTGAACCCTGTCATGCTATCTCTGATTCCACTCTAGTCACAGCCCTTTCTATGCACTGCTGTTCTGTGTAATTACATATAGATGAAGCAAAAGCAGAAGAATAGTTTGTGTCCCATATAGCCTAAGAAAATTCTAAAAACGGAGAGGAAGAAAAGCTAACCAAACAGGGAACCAAAAGAGTGGTGAGTAAAAAATCAGGACCAGAATTCAGAATCCAGGAACAGCCTCAGCTTCAAAATCCAGAGGCCTCACAGAGACCAGAGACCTCCACATGCAGAGAGGATCCAGCAACTTCCAGGGATGCAGAGTTTGAATCTACAGCATCCATCATGTGCAAAAGCCCCAGCTCCTACAACCTTGACTGGCCAGAAAAGAGGCAAAACCAGAGCTTCTGTTATTTACCCCAAGGAAACATAACTGCATGCGTTCAGGTTTGTGGTACTTGTCTTCACCAAATCTGAAGCTTTGAAGGAATGTCATGCCTGGTTTGCTGTTGAATGAACCTGTGTCTTTACTGACCACACTTAATAGAGGCAGGTTAAGAACACAGAAAGGGATTTTCACTAGGATCATGCTGTGAAGGGCCATTGCTAACCTGCGCCAGTCTCCTGGAGCCCTTTCCAAGGCTTTTCCTCTAATCTTTCTTTTTCTTTTTTTGGGAATTTATTTTTTTTATTTAAAGAAAAGAAAAGAAAACGAAACAAAACAGTGAAAGGGTACAAGTAGTATAAAATTAAAAAAAAACCAGTAAGAAATCACTAGTTAATAGATTACATATTGTCATCTTAGAAATAGTTGATCAAGTTACAAAATTAAGCATACAAAGTGGACATTCAAACAGTGAGAATGCAAACAGTTGTGTTCAATGATCCAACAAAAACTTAATGATATGGTCATCTATCTTACACACCAAAACACACTTGCAGTTGTGTCCTTTTTTTTTTACTTAAAGAGAAAAACAAAATAAAACAGTAAAAGGGTACAAGTAATACAGAATTTCAAAAAAAATAAACAGTAAGAAATCACTAGTTAATAAATTACCTATTGTCATCTTAGAAATAGTTGATCAAGTTACAAAATTAAGCATTCAAAGTGGACATTCAAACAGTGAGAATGCAAACAGTTGTGTTCAATGATCCAACAAAAACTTAGTAATATGGTCATCTGTCTTACACACCTAAACACACTTGCAGTTGTGTCTGTTAGAGTACTTTCTTTTCCTCTCTTTTTTACAATAACATTAAACATTTTGGGTTTTTTTACTCCCACAGTTCTTATTACTTTTTTTGGAAGAGAATAAAACCAAATATGACAAAACAAAGCAAAAGATGGACATAGTGATTAGTAAAAACAGAATACCAGGTATTCAACAATGGTTACCATAATGCCCCTTGCAACCTTGAAAAAAATTGCCTATATCACCAGGTATAATAAAGTTGAACATAACAGTACAGAACAAAACCAATAAAACCTAAATATTGGAGACATTACTGAACTTCAAAAGAAGATAATAGTCAAACCAGAATGGGCATCAGAGTGAATCTTATTGCCTTCAAAGTAAATGCTTATACCCTCAAAATTGATGATATCAAACAGAACAGAATAGTGAAATAAATCAATATCAATATGAAAACAAGATGATGAGAGCAATACGGGGCTTCAAATTGAGTTAATAGGAAATCAAAAAAGTTACTATAATATATCCGCTAATTTTTAAAATTTTTTTCCCTTAAATAATAATAATAATAATAATAAAATAAAAAACTTTATAAAAAGGGGGGAGATTGAGATAAAAGAGGACATAACAGCATAACAATACAGGTCAGAACAGAATAATTTAAGCAACATAGTGTTTCACCACAAGATAACTCGACTTAATAGTAGTTACCATAGTGTCTCTTTCCTTGAAGTATTTGAGTATAACTTTGTATACTATAGCATCAAACAATCAAGACAGTGTGAAACCATTCAAGAGAATGAAAGTATTACAAGGTATTTAGAACCAACTAACAGAAAATGAACAATGGTTTCTATATTATCTCTTTGCCTATATAAAAATTTTTGTTTATACTGTTATACATAATAAAATCCAATATACAACATGATAAGAGCAATGGAGACAGAAGAACAACAGTTTGATAGGACTTCAAAACAAGATGATACTAAATCAGCACTACCTATTATGGTGTCTTGTTTTCTTCAAAATAACTGTTCATATCATCACAGACAGTAATAGCTAACAGCCCAGAATAAAACCATTCCAATTAGTGAGTGAAAACATTATAAGACTTCAAAACTATATAATGGAGAATCATGATTATTACATACTTTTATGTATTTATATCATTTCTTACACTAGGAAGACTATTCGGTATTCATATTGATACTGATTTATTTCACTTATGAGTATGGTCTCAAGCTGTGCCCTTTTGGCAGAATGGATCAAGAAACAAAATCCAACCATATGCTGTCTACAAGAAACCCATCTAACACAAAAGGACACTTACAAACTGAAAGTCAAAGGATGGGAAACAATACTTCACACCATAGGAACCCCCAAAAAGCAGGAGTAGCTATTCTGTGTGAAGACAATGTGAACTTTGAACCAATAATGATCAGAAGAGATAAAGAAGGTCACTACATACTGGTTAGGGGAAAACTTCAAGAGGAAGAGATAACTATCTTAAATATATATGCACCAAATTCCAGAGCACCCAGTTATATAAAACAAGTATTAACAGATGAAAAATCAGATTATCAGTAACACAATTGTAGTAGGAGACCTTAACACACCATTGACACCAAGGGACAGGTCAACCAGACAGAAAATCAGCAAAGAAATAATAGAACTGAATCACACAGTTCATTTGTGAACAAATGGACTTGATAGACATATACAGAGTGTTCCATGCAACGTCAGAATACACATTTTTCTCAGCAGTACACGGGACATTCTCTAAAATAGACTATATATTAGCTCATAGAACATATTTAAATAAATGCAAAAGAGTTTAAGTTATCCCTTGCATGTTATCAGATCATAGCACTATGAAATTAGAAATTAATGATAAAAGAGTCTGCAAAAATCCCACAAACACATGGAAACTGAATAACACACTGTTGAGTAATCAGTGGGTCACAGGGGAAATTAAACAAGAAATTAAACAATACCTACAAGGAAACAAAAATGCAAAAACAACTTACCAGAATCTGTGGGATGCAATGAAAGCTGTCCTCAGAGGAAAGTTTATTGCACTGAGTTCCCACATCAGGAAAACAGAACGAATACAAATAAATATCCTGACGTTACACCTCAAACATCTAGAAAAAGAAGAGCAAATCAAGCGCAAAGCCAAAAGAAGAGAGGGAATTATAAAAACCAGAGGATAAATTAATGCAATAGAGACTAAGAAAACAAGCCAAAGAATCAATGAATCAAAGAGTTGGTTCTTTGAAAGAATAAATAAAATTGATAAGCCCCTAGCCAACTTTATTAAAAAAAAGAAAGAAAAAGCTCAAATTCATGCAATATGAAATGCAAAAAGGTGAAATAACTACAGACTCTATAGAAATACAGAAGATCATTAACACTTATTTTGAAAACTTCTACTCTCAAAGGTTTGATAACACAGAATAAACAGACAGTTTCCTAGAAACATATGAAGTACCAAAGCTAGGTCAAGAAGATGTAAAACTGCTGAATAACCCAATCTCTATTAATGAAATTGAAAATGTAATTAAGTCCTTACCTACAAAGAAGAGCCTAGGCTCAGATGGATGCAGAATTCGACAAGAAATACAAAGGAGACTTAATGCTGACACTCCT